GCCCTTCCGAACCGGGCCCCGCCGCGCTGCGGCCCCTCGCAGCCCCGGCAGGGGACGGGCGGCCTGGACTCAGCACCCAGGCGCGGTCTGCGGCCCGTCGGCAGCGGGAGTGCCCCGCACGGGGCGCGCGTAACGGCGGTGCCCGCGCCCGGAGCCCTGGGCGAGAAAAGCGCCTTGTGCCGGGCCTGCGTGGGCGACCCGGGTTTCAGCGAACACGCGAGTAGGTCGGGGGGGTTGCGGCTTCCCAGGTTACAGAGGAAAATGGAAAAAAAATACACGGTAACACTGCTGTGCAAGTGCGAGAGCCCCTGTGTCTTACTGCGTGCATCAAATCGTACGGGGTGTTTTCAGAGGGGGAAAGGTATTGGCACTAACGCAGCTACCTCCGTGTGCGACTGAAATGCAATGGTATCAAGCCGAAAGTCTGTATTTCCCCTTCATAATACCATTTTAGGATGGAAATGCTTCATTTTGCAAGTGTGAAGCTGCATAGGAATAAAAACGGAAAAAGCTGAATTCTTCTTTTCCTCATGAAGTTAAATATTGGATAAAATGTACTGGTAAAAGACGTTCCAGAAACAGAGGAAACAGCCAAAATACGCTCCAAGGTACAGCACGGGGATTCATTAAAAGGAGACGCTGTTTTCCAAACACCTGCTTTAATAGTAAATTTAAATGTTTGTTTTAAATATAATAGGGTATCCTCATCTTTTTATATTTGCCAGTCACCTATTCATGTCAAGTCAGTAGGGAATCAATACTTCTTAATCTGTAGCTATGAAAGCTAGGAAAATCTAAACATCAGAAAGGGAGTGCACTTCCACTTATACTGGAAATGTGAATGCTGATGCATTTAATGGAAATAATACATCTAAAAAGAAAAAAAAATTAGGTTGAATTGCAGAAAAAGCTTCCTTAGAGTAAGGTCTTATTTGGTCTCTGAAGGGACATTACGGAAACTTTATTGCCCGATACATTTAAGATTAGCCTGAATAAAAGATCTAGCACAATCTGTTGCAGAGGTCAGTCGTGCATCCTCACAGACTGGACGGGATAACTCAATAAATGAGCTCCAGCTCCACCTTTTCCGAGTCTCTTTACAAACGGGGGGCTCACTATTACTCCAACGCATATAGTCAGCGTGGGAGATAGGAAAGACAACAACACACAGCAATTATTTCAGGACTGAGACATTCAAAAGGCTCAACCAGGCAGTAAGCTCCTCGTCACCGAGTACAAATTCTGCCATTCATGCTACTGCAAGAATACCAGAACAGCGATTCCTGCTACTGCAAGAATACCAGTACAGCGCTGTCCCTGACCCCACGTTATCCGACAGGTAAACAAAGCACTGGGAAATACTCACCCAAGCCTCGATCCCTCCTTCGTTACAGCTAAGGACAGCAGAGGAGGGTCCTAGTCAAGGCAACAGACAGAGAAAATCAGCTCTAGCTACGGTACAGAAACTTTCTACTTACGTTCCACCAACAGTAGCTGCAAACATTTCTGCTCGTACGAGCCACAGCGGAAGCTGGAGCATGGACCGGTCTTCCATGGTCACTCCAATTATTGATCCTCTGCAAGTATTTATGGAGCTAAGCCACTCAAACATAATCTTACATAATCCATCATAATTAATATGCAAAATCATAATGGATTCCCTGTTTTAATGAATTTTAATTTATCTAGGAAGGCTGTTGGGTTTGGGGTTGGTTTGGGGGTTTTTTGTTTGTTTTTTTTAATAGTAAATACACATTTTTTCCAACAAAATCAGTTTCACTGTCACCTATCCAAGAACTTACGTTTTGCAAGGCTGCACCAAAAGCAAAGTTTCCAAGGATTTAAGCAAAGGAGATAAGATTTCTTTGTGTAAGTGTTTCATAAAAGCAAACCTTAAATCAGTACAGTCTAGGCAGCCTCACTGAACACTGCATCCATTATATTCATCCAAATTTTTAGCACGTTTCAAAAATCACCAAGCAAGAAACTAATTCTTCCATTTTACTTTTCAGTTTCTAGAGGCGGCTTGCAGTAGAAATAAATTTGCTATTACAGTGCTTTTAATACCGTCATTTTCACGTATCACTAGAATTAACTTCAGTTAACACGGAGTAGCAGCTCATTTTTGCACGCTTGCATGCACTTCAATGGAGAAACTCCGTACAAGCCAACAGCTTTACGGGTCGCTGCCACCAGCTGAGGAGCCACGGGTTCTTGGGAGATGCTCTAGCAATGCTGCTCTGCTCCTTTGCAAGGAATCAGGGGGTCAGTACAGGCCAAGGAGAATCCAGCAACCACGAAGAGGCCGCAACCTGCAGAACAGAGCAGACCAGCTTTCTCTGCAGCAGGATACAGACGTGATTACGGGGCTGGACAGAAGCAAAGTCAGTAGGTTCAGGCTCTTGCTCCTCGAACACCTGAGTAGGCAGCAGCCACTGCTAAAGCCAAGCTACTCCTCAGCTGCAGTGCCTTTTTTGGGCTTTCATTGCCCAACGGCACAGACGGTACCCCTTCTGTGACGTGCCATGCAGAGAGATTCTTACAAAGCACAGCATCAGGGTTTGATTTAGCTGCTGAGAGTTATTTAGACTGGCTCCTAATAAGCTAGACACCTGCAATGATTTAGAAGCCTGTCGTTGTGTTTTGTTTTGGTTTTTTTCCTTGATATAATCAGTTTCCATAAATTCCAGCTCAAGTTACACGAGACAGTTGACATCTGAGTTTAACCTCTTGTCCAATGCGTATCAAAAATACATTTCCTTTTACAGAATTTCGATAGAAAATATGTAGCCAGTTACTTCAGTGGAGTTAAGATACCATGGGCGTAACTCATGGGAAATAACTCTTGACAATGCAAGTTACGTTGCGCTACAGAAAGTTACTTTTTTTGTTTTTTCAAAGATATTTCATGTCACTGCTGCTTTTATTTAATTATGAAGAATATATAGAGACGCATTAACATCACACAAGTATGTTTCAGTTTATACTTTTTAAAAAAATGAATAGTTACCCAATTAGGTTGGAAGTGTTTTATTACTTCTTTGAATTCATCAGCCATGATAAAATGTCAAAAGCACCAGTCAAGACAGAAATAAATAACACGATCTCATGTTAGAGAGGAGGTTGCAAATACAGTATATTAAATTATAGCAATATGCTGCTTCACACCAACCGATGTAGACAGCACACTAGGGAGACAGTAGTTTTACTCACGATCATTGAAAAGATCTATTACCAGAACAGGGGAGCTGCACATCCAGCTACAAGCATCATTCTTTCTTTTACCAATTTACTTTATGAATTTAATCAAGGGTTTGAACGGGCAGTTTTGGAAGTCTGACATCCCCTTTGTCTAGAGGTAACGAGTGACACAAAGCTTTTCACAATAAGCCACACAAAAAGCCAAGGCTTTCACATCTTTGTAGTCTTTGCTTTCAGGTCTGTTCCTGTGCCAAGTCAGTTTAAAGCCACATCTTAAGTGCTCCTTAGTAAAGATAAACTCCGGGCAGGGAACATATGCAACACTAATATCATAGTATTACGAAACTGCACTTCAGGGGCTTTGAGCAGAGCATCTCTGCAAGTTTATGGGAGCACTATATCAGTCAGAAAATGAAGGAAATAAGCTACAGTCCCTTTGGGGAAAAAAAATCCATACAGAAAAGCCATATTAAAAATATTAAGGCAAGGCCTCTACAATTGCACACCACTTCAGGCCTGAATTAAATCATGAGTATTCTCTAACTTAGATGTTTCCCTAATTTCTCTTTTAAGGCCTACAGCAAAGTTTTCCACTGAAACAAATAGTGAAAAAAACCCCCAAATTCTCTACTGAAGGCCTAGTAACATGTCACTTGCATGACATCTCTTATGGTCAGTAAAATACCATAAACATGTCCTCTTCCAGGCAGGCATTTGAAAGAAATACTCTTCTGTCAGGGAAAATGGATGTAATATATACTGTAGTGAAGTCACTTCTTATACAAAAAAACCCCATAACACATACGGACAGATGCACTGTAAAATAAACAGCTTATACAACAACTAAAGTTTGAAACATCCGAGACCCACTACAGCAGGTCAGATGGAGTAGAAAGCCAAAGGAGAATCTCCATTTTTTAGGTTTAACTTCACCACTGCTTTAATGTGATGTCTGTACTTTAAACTAAAAAAAAGTACGTGAAAAAAATATATATGATCATTCTGGTGAGGAAAAACATTCCCATGATTACTCAAGCTCAGAAAATTTTTTAATTAACTAAATGTGTTAAATTATGCCAGTGATTAAATCTTGTTATTTACAAGATCAAGTACTACTCTGATTCTTAGTAATGGTGCAATATCTAAATTAAGATCACAGGGGTTGGATTACATTCTGGTTGCTAAAAGCTTTCTTTTTTAGCTGTCTATCCTGTTCTTCGGAGTTTTTGAGTCTGGAAGAAAGGAGATGAAGTCAAACATTTTTATGCCTCAACATATTTTACATCTAGATCAATTTTGTAATCTAGTCCCATGACTCAGTAACATGGTTTCCATTTGAAGCCTGTAACAATTGTGAAATAAGGGTACAGAAGACAACACATTTTTGTTCACAGTAACACACTAATTACTGTACTCACTGGTAAACTTCAATTTTGTAATTATTTTTAAGTACGGTTTCCAAATACCTTTGCAGAGAGCACCAAATTATTTGTGTGGGAGCATCAAATTTCCTGACATTTTCCATATAATCCTTACAAACACCTCACAGATCACCAAACTTGCACTTTGAAGAATTCTACAGAAACATTGCACAGACTTTGCACCACAAGGGCTTATACATTCAAAGGCAGCTTTCGGGAGTGCAGGTCCATCCATTCACAGTGGGGAAAAAAGTTCACATAAACTCCAAAAATGAGAAAATGAAGTGAAACCTAGTGTGACTTTACACCAATAAGAACAACAATAAGGACAATTACTATAACAAACAAAATTAAAATAACAAGCATCTTCCGATTCTTCTTTTGATATTGCTCTGCCTATAGAAACAGAAAAGAAAAAGTTAATACTTAGATTTCTGCAAAGCTACAAAGTACAGACTCTTGTTTAGTATAAGTGAAGTACACGTATCTCAGAACTGTTCTTTGGTAACCTGACGTTTCATACAATGTATATTGCAAGCAACTCCCACAAAATAACTCTGGTCTGCACCACAGACTTAAGTGTACGCTGAAGTCACATTTATCTGTATTAAACAGCAGACTCTATGAAGAAGAATGCAACCTCATGTCGGCTAAGCAACCTTACTGTGACTTCTTTTCAGCAGTCCTTGAGGGGGTCCTATGCCTCCGCAGGACACACGAGCTACACGGAAGAACGATACTTCATTTGGAAGAACACTTAGCTATGAAGACCACGGAAACAAGATCAGGCAACTGGGTATGCGAATGTCTGAACAGTAGAAGTTGGTAAGATGTTTTAACTCATTTTGCTGATACAAGATTCCTGTATTATATTTGAAGGACATTAAAATTCACAACAAAACTTCATTTTTTAATAGGCATTTTTGTTGTACCTGATTCAGCTGTGCATTTTCATTTAATGTCAATTAGAACTGAAAGCTTTCTTTTTGATTTGGTTCTCAGTTTTCTGCTTCATTCCTTCTTTCTTCTAACCACATTTTCTCATCCCTTTCCTCTTTTTCCCAGGGGAATTAAAAGGAGGCAACGTGGAGAAAACTCTCCAAAAGCCAAATGAAAGTCTGCTAATAGAAGCTAAACAAAACAAAACTTGCATTTAATTCTTTTTAAATTAATAAACCTTTAAAATTTAAAGGGAAAAAGATGTTAATTCTTCTTCTTTATAGTCCCTGGAAAGTAATTACTACCAGATCTGCTAAAGAGGCATTTTTGACCTGAAACTATGTAACACGCAACCACTGTGATTATTTACTTAATCAGGCTTTAAGTATCAAAGCCTGACAAAGTATCACAACTGATTCCAATTTTCATGTGAAGCAGGAATTGGTAACTAGTGATTCATATCACCAGAATTCTGCAGTGAATTAATGCAATTTCTGTAAAAGTGCTGTCTCAGTAGTTTGTAATAATTATGCCAATTAAAACAGAAAAGAAAATTGACATCACAGATATTCAATCAGAACAAAGCTACCAACAGTATTAGAAACAGCAAGGTATCCGTGTTTGATATTATTATTCAGACCTGTGTGTATGTCTTCCCTGACAGGTGAAAAAATTCCTATGCTGTACTGAAAAGAGGTATATATTGCATCAAAAATCCATACTCTAGTCAGCAATCCATGCAGGGGTTTGCTGACAATTCATTAACTACCACTAGACTAGAAAGAGCATTGTTTCCAACTGATTAATTTATTTCCAGTTCAGTTTGTGCAAATTGCTTGCAATTACTTTAAGCCTTGTTCACCAATGGTCAGTGCCTTATTTTAGCAATCTCCAATTTACTTTTATGTGTAACAAGAATAAACCTATAACCAATTTATTTTGCTTTTCCTCAAATGGCACTTTTTTGCTGTCCATATATTAGAAGTCTACCGTAACAGGAAGAAGTAGAGTGTGTAGTAGTAAGATGTCCACATTTCCAAAACAGAATATTTTACTGAAGAGGCTTTTGCATAAATCTCTCATTCTACTTTATTTCCAGCAATGGAAGGACTGAACTGAGTCGACAAGTCAGAACTTAGCTTAAAATCAAAACAAAACAAAAAAGCCAACAAAACAAAACAACCATAAAACTGTGTGTTCTGCTGCCAATTCAAACTTTTCAGATGTTCATAGTAAAAGCTTCACATTAAAAGCATAAGGTTGGACCTAACTTCTAACTATTGAGATCATGTTTTCAAACTAGGATATATCAACTGACTGAAATCTATAGTGGGGTACCCAATAACCAGTCCTATTTCACAAGAGCTGGGCTCTCCAAACAGAGAAGGAATTGCAGATAGGTCCCACCAGGTCAGCAATATAAAGATCAAAGCACATTCCTTGGATGCCCAGAAACTTATTTAAGAAATTAACACTAGGCATCAAGCGTGACATTAAGAGAAGTTATACGGAAAATTCCTACTACGGTACAGTTGGATGTTCTATACTGTACAGCAATCATTTCTAAAAGGGACAATGTCTGATTGAAAAATGACTGAATAACTTAACGGCTATGAAATTATGAAAGATTATTAGATATGCAAAGCAGCTTAAGTATTCTGTCAGCTTACCTTATGTAGTTGTTTTAGACCCTCTTCAGTTTTCATACATGACTGTTCGACATTGTAGTCAATTCTGTCTAGAACGGTTCCCTAAACAAAGTGGAGAGAATGAGCAAGCAATTGAACCTAAATGAACTTCATAAAGCAATTATTATTATGAGCAGCAGTGTAATTAACAACACAGCAAACAGCTAACGAACTATGTAAACTATGAACTTTTACAGAAGAACTAGTTGGGACTTCATTAAATGACCTCCTTGCTCAATGACTAACTGGCAGCTCCGTCACCATCTCACATCACATCTCTCAATATTCACCCTACTTCCAGTTCAGGTGCTTTTAGCTGACACATTTAACCTAAACTGAATCTCTGGGAGAAATAACCAACAGAACTTTGGCATTCTATGTTTTTTTTAGTTTAACACCCATAACCAGTTGAATTTTTATTTATTTATTTATTTTCATTAACTCATCTTCTGGCAGATTTCAAGCACAGAAACCTTAGCCTGAAGAGATAAGCTAGGAAAAGCGAGAAGCACATGAGGACAGGATGTTACAACAGGAAGAGTCTGGAAGTCTTAACACTACACGCAATCTCCTATTTCTTACTAACACTGTGATGTCAACGTACCTGTTCTACTATCATTGCTCCCAGGTCTCTAAATATTTCATTGAGATCGGAGATTGACTGTACAATCTGACGGATTTCTCGTTCCC